CACACACACACACACACACACACACACACACACACACACACACACACGTCTGAGAAAATATTGAAGCAGTTGAGCGACTGCAGTTGGTTTTTGGCCGGTTCTAAAGTCGGGACGGGAGCCTTCAACTTCAACTTTATTTTTTGGTACTTTGTAAAATTAAATTCTCAAGTATTTCCGCCAATTGTTTCTCTTATTTTCTTAAGATGAGATATTTGAACTCCAGAGGCATCATCACACCAACCACACCACAACCTTTTTAAATAAGCATGTCAGTTTAATGAAATATTATCTCAAAACACAAGGGTATGCCATTATTTATAAGGCTCATATTCAGCTTTCCCTTCTTCAAACTGCAGCACAGAGAGCACAGTGTTATTCTAAAGGTGAAGTTACTTCTTCTAATCTAGTGAGATGTCAGAGGTAGCCAAAACTCTGTCCAGCAAATAAGCTGCTTATGAATCAAAGTGACTTTTGTTTACCACAATACCTCAGAGCAAAGTAAACTCACAGCCTCTGTGACACCAGCAAGAAACGTACAAGCAGACAGAAACATTGGCATAAAGTATAAATCCAGCTGCAGACCCAGTTTAAACTTCAATAAAAAGTCTACCGTCTATAGATGCGAATGTGTTTGTTGTGCATCCATGTCCTTTGTCATGACTGTGTTCTCCTGTGTGCACAGTACATGTATTGTTTTTGTGGGATTAGTCTGTATAATTAGAGCATTGATGCAACTCGAGTGTTGGTCTGTTATCAAGGCTTGTGGCAGATGCCTGTTTAAGCCCCTCTCACTCACACACACACACACACACACACACACACTACAGATTAAGGTTCAGACTCTTCGTCCCCCCATCATTTTCCTGAGGACCCCTCCCACACCCCCCCTTTCCCTTCTTCCATAGATGAATTTAGGATAACTGCACATCATCTGATGCTCTGCCCCATCGGACGTCACAATGCTGGATACTTAAAGAAATGACACACTTATGTGCTCAGACTCTTTTGCGATTTGTGTTTTTGGTGTCGCCAACTTCAGTCAAGTTGTCTCAACAACTTCTACATAGTGTGGTCTTACTTTGTGATTTTCCTCTGAGAACAGTTGTGTAAAATACTTATTTGGACCCTGAAGCATGTTTAAAATCACCAGCATCGACTGGGAGAACTGGTCTGAGTTTACAGGACGATTATTTAAAGTCTTTAACCGTCAATCACCTGATTTTATGTGTCTGAAGGACAGAGAGAGAGAGAAAGAGAGAGAGAGAGACAGACCAGAGAGAGACAGAGACACAGAGAGAGACAGACCAGAGAGAGACAGAGACACAGAGAGAGACAGAAAGAGAGAGAGACATGAGACACAGAGACAGAGAGAGATAGATAGAGAGACAGAGAGAAAGAGAGAGAGAGACAGAGACACAGAGAGAGACACAGAGACAGAGAGAGATAGATAGATAGAGAGACAGAGAGAGAGAGACAGAGACACAGAGAGAGACAGACAGAAAGAGAGAGACTGAGACAGAGAGAGACAGAGACAGAAAGAGAGAGAGAAAGAGAGACAGAAAGAGAGAGAGAGAACGAGAGAGACAGACAGACAGAAGTAAGGAAATAAATGATTCTTAGATCCACCGTTAAAGATTCAGCATCAATACATAAACCTCTTTATCTACTTATACTTATATTATACTTATATAGTGATTAATAAAACACACTTCTTATTGAAAGAGAGGTGATTATAGTGTACAGGCCGTGTGATGCAAAGATCAAATACTTCAGCTTTACCACAACGAAGGTACGAAAGCCCAAAGCACATCTTTAGCTGGAGGTGAAGGAGAAACAACTTGTTGATGCCAAACAGATAAACCTCAAACAAGAGACGACTTATCATCCGGTTTGCATATAGTTACAAAAAGCAGGAACATAAAACAAATTGAGACGCATCAAAGATTCATCAAGTCATCCATTCATATCCCACCGGGTCAAAAGTGAGTCCAATCACAGAGATTCATCGGGAGGTAATGCAACAAATGTAAAAGGCTGAAGTAAATATGAGAGAGCGGGAGAAAATCTGAATTCTTATAAATCCACAACACTCTGACTCTTCTGCCATCAGCCACATCCACTGTGCACAATCGGCCATTGTTTTAGTCTGAGGCAGAGCAGAAACGATGAGTCAGTTAATTAATTAGTTGATTGACAGACTAATAATTACTGGCTGACATAGAAAGTAAAATATTAACATTTGCTTGGTGGTTTCCGCCATTTTATATCACTGTAAATTAAACTTGTGAAGATAGAAAGAAATGTCCCTTGTGACTGTGGTAGATTCTGAAAGGTGTTATTCATTATTCTTATCGTTTAATAAAAATAATACAAATGTTTAACTGAGTAATTAAACCAGGAACTTGCTGACTGCTTCTTGTGCGGATGGTTTCAATCATGATGTTGGTTTAAAATAACTGCAGTCTGTTCACATCAGCATTCTCACACTCTACATACTCAAACACACACGACACAAGCATTTGCATTTAATACACACACACTCTTTCTCACTCACACACTAAAGGAAACTGTCCCTCAGCCCTGCCTCTCTCGCTCACAACACATTCTTATCACACTGATGTCAAGCTGTGAGGCTCGAGAGGTGACAGGACACTCACCCGGCTCCTCCTGTATCACTCCCACTCCTCCCGTATCACTCCATCCCTCCCCGTCCCTTCGGCCCAACATGCTTGCCAGCCTCCACAGCTGGCTAACGTTAGCGGTGCTATCCCTCTGTATAAACTGATAACAGGGACCAAAATGCCTTGGGATGGTAACAAGCTGAACAAATAAATTGAGTAATGGAAGAATCCTGCACCGCTGTTACATTTGTACTGTTGTTAAGAAGCAGGTTAACTGGGAGGAGAGAGTGAGCATGTCTGTGGAGGGGCATTAAGGCCTCAGCAGCCATGTGACTTACATAAGGTCACCGAATGATATTCCTTTTCAGATGGTGAACTGGCTTTATATAAGAGGGATCGAAAAGATCCTAAAAAATGAGGGGAAGGCAGCCTGATCTATCTGGCTGGTGCACGCCTGTTTAAAATGCTTCACCACTTTTTCATTCCTGATAAATAATATTATGAAACTGTTGGACTTGAATGAAAGCAGCACTCTGCTGAATGCCGTCCTGGACTAATTGTGTTCTGTGCTCCTGATTTATAGCAAGAACACGGCCACCCTCCTGAACCCAGACCAACTTTTGAACTGGAGATGAGTATGTTGGTGATGTGTATTCACCGGCAAACCAGGATTTCACAGACATAAAACTTCATTTATGACACAAATGAAACGCTCCATATCCGTGTGCTTTCCTGTTAGCGTGAACTCTACAAACATGGTCAAATGTGCACATCTAACTCAACTATAGGATTTATCTTTAGCTACAGAGGACTGTAGTTGTATGCATAGAATTTGTCTCACAGACACACACACACACACACACACACACACACACACACACACACACACA